GCCCTCGCGCCTCCTCAGAAGCTTGTTGTGCCTCCGGGGTAGGCTTAGAAAACTGCTCAGAGGGCCGGGGGACTCCCGGACCTTCTGAGAAGGCCTTCTTCTTCTCACTTCCCCCGCTCGCTTGCCGCCAACAGGAGCCCACGGATGGCAGCGTGGAACACCCTGGGCCGTCCCGTTCAAGTACTCAAGAAACAAGCGTCAGAACCCTGAAGTGCAAGCACTGTTTTGGGAAACGCTTAGACAGGAGAAGTGAGAGCCCTCAGTGAAGTAAGGTTGTTTATAAGTGTATCAGTATTCTTGCATGGGAAGATTCATATAGTTTCTTCTGCCCCAAGACCCCCGACGTCATGTTTGTTTTCATTACATAGATCTCCAGCGGTCTGGACCCGCTCACCCGGATCGAGTCTTCATCCCTAATCGTTTCTTGACGGTCTCGAAGGCTGATAGGGGTTCCCGGCGGCTGAAAATGGCGAAAAGTCTTCCGTCGTGATTTCTGTTCATGGCTCGAGGGAGTCTGGGGCCTCCATCCTCATCCATTTCGGGCGGCACGATGCAATCGACGGCCACACTGCCAAACTGGCTCTCAAGGGTAATTACTTCGACCGGCCAGCGCGGCGCCGCCGCTCTCCCTTGGTTCCTTTGCGTCGTCGTTCTCGTCGTCGAGGTCGTCGTCACCAGCACCTCCGTCGACGAGTGACGCAATAAGGCAAGGAGGACGAGGTGGACGACGACGAGGATCACGTGCATGCTGTTGGAGGGGGATGCCCGTCGGTCGATAGAAGTGGGCAGTAGCATTAAGTAGGAAGGCGTTGGAAGTTCCGCCCGCCCCGTGAAGAGGAAAGAGGAAACACTGCCTGATCTTTGAGGTAGGATGGCAACTCAAAAAGATTGGGATTTGGGCCATCCGAAAATGCTTAATTTCAACGGCCCGCGTGTACGTTGATCAGGCTCAGCTGGGTTCCCGTGTCCCTCTGAGCTCAGGGAGCTGTGCTTGCTGGGCTTGTCTTCCACCGCCACCACTACAAGCAGGAGGGGGAGGGGGTACTCCTCCTCCTCCTCCTCCTCCTCCTCCTCCTCCTCCTCCTCCTCCTCCTCCTCCTCCTCCCCTCCAACTCGTGGTGGTGGCGCTGGAAAACAAGCCCATCAGTGCTGGGCCAAGCTCTGCTGCCTTCGCCCGCCGGCGGCCGCGGCCGCCGCCCACCGACGCCTCGGGCGCGTGCGCCCCGCAGCCTGCCTGAGAACCAGCGGATCGGCGAGGAGGACGAGCACGAGGGGGGGGGGGGCACGAGGACGCCGAGGAAGGGAAGGCGGGCGCGGAAGCAGGTGCTCGAGGGCAGCGGACCCGCAGCTCGGGATCGGAGCGCTCTGCTGCGAAGAGGGCCCGCCCAGGCCTCCGACGACTCGACGCTCTGCTTCGAGGCGGCAGGCCCGGAGCTGGCCCCCCCCCTCCTCCTCCCGAGGCCCACACGCGGCCCCCTGCTGCCCAGGCAGGGGGGGCAATCTGCGGCGCGATGGTCAGGGCCCCTTGCAGGCTCGACCCTGGGACCACTCCAATGGGGAGCGCTCCGCCCAACAGCTTCGGGGGCAGCCCCGGCGGCGCCAAGGAGGCCCCGAGAGAGACCCGCCCAAGAGCACCCGAAAGCCTCGATCCCCGAAGGCCCAGGCCCCCGACGTGGTGAGTCTGCTGCCGCAGCGGTGGCCCCTGCCCTGGAGGGCTCGACACCCTGCCCCTGGGGGCCCACGTGGGCGTCTCTGGAGCCGAGGATCGTCAGGAACCCTTTGCCGAAGAGCACCGTGACTGCTCAGGCTGGTCGGCGTGCAAAGGGGGGTCGGGAGAGGGGGGAGGGCTTTTTCGAAGGAGGCTGCTTCTTAGAAAACGCGGGCCTGACATCTACAGACAAGGCCCGCGCCTTCTAAGAAGCAAGGTGCTTCTAAGACTCCTAGCTCCCTCCCCTACCCCCCTCTGCGCGTGGCTGAACGTGGACGCCTCTAGAGTCGACGATCGTCAAAAACGCTTCGCCGAAGAGCAGAGGCTGTTCGCACCGTCGCAAGGCCTCGCCCAGCTCGGTCCGGGTAGAGGATGAGGGGCAACGACAGGGGGGGGGACAGCGCTCAGGGGGGAGGGGAAGCATCGAGCTCGAATCGGCGATACATCGCCGACAGAAATTCGGCAGGCCCCCGATGGCGAGTCCGCACGCTCCGGGGCGGTGTGGGGCCCCCGGGCCCCCATCGGCGATGAATAGGCCAACGGGGGACGAGGCTCCCCCCAGGAGCCTCTCCCAGACCGCCGACGTCGTCACCTTTTCACAGCGCGGACGCACGCAGGCCTCGACGCCTTCCCTGGGAGACCGTCCGCTCATCCCCAGTCGGCTTTCGACAGCCTATCGAAGGCAACCACAAAACTTGTCCGACGCGAGCGCGTCGGGTTCCCGGGCCATATAGCTCGTCTGTCCGGCGGCCCATCGAGGGCGATCTGGGCACCCCGCGGGAGAGGCCGGCGAGGACCGGCGAAGGCGCCAGACGACTTCGAGCCTCCGCGGCACGTGACAGCTAGTCTGGGGGGGCTGCACCCCCAGGGATCCCTCCTCCTCCTCCTCCTCCCTCCTCCTCCTCCTCCTCCTCCTCCTCCTCCTCCTCCTCCTCCTCCTCCTCCTCCTCCGCGCCGAGCAGCTTTTGCTCCCCGACGGCAGCCTCCCCACGGGCGCGGGGGGCCGCCTGGCGCCCCATGTTGCTGTGCCTGATCATCATCTCCGACACGTTCGCCTCGCGGCGGCGCGGCGCGCGGCCAGCGGCCACGACCCGCCGACCGGGGCCCTGCCCGCGGCGCGCGGCCAGCGCGCGCGGCCGCGCCCGAGGCGCGGAGCGCAGCCCGCGGCTCCCCCCAGCGGTGGAGGCGGCGGGGAGGCACCTCGGCCTCCTGCGGCGTGCCCGGGTGGCGGGGCCCAGGCGGTCTCGCTGCCACACCCCTCCCCCGCCTCGGGCTGCACGCGAGGTCGGGATTTTTCCGGCCCTGCGCTCAAACTCTCACAAGAAAGCGGATCCTGGTGTATATGGGGTCCTGGTGTATACATTGTTCGTTGCTTCCCTGGGGAAGCGGGGGAAAAGTATACACCACACCACCCCGACGTCGTCCCCGACCCTCCAAAAGTCCTGGGATTGAACACGTCGTCCCCGACCCTCACAAAGTCTTGGGATTGAAAAAGAGGCCGCCGCTGGTAATGCGTATGTTCCAATTTCCGATGAGGGCGACCCCCGGGCGAGGAGTGGCGCTGGGTGCGCGGATCCCGGAGGCAGCGACGGAGGCCCGATATCGAAGCGTGCCGGCCGGTGCGGGGGGGGGGCCTGGGAGCCCGCACCAGAGAGATCCCTCGGGGTGAAGGGTCGCTCTCACCTGCAGGTCGACCCTCGCCAGCGGCGAACAGATCCGTATCCGCGCCCTCGCGGTCTGGACTCTGTGGCGCGAAACCACGGCTTCGCGGTTGAGTTCCGCGCAAGCACGAAGGGGCCCCAGGACACACGAATAAACACATACAAATAAAACTATTCCCCATATTTCCCCATATTTTCTAAGTTTCTGTCTTCCCCACACTTCCCATCTTTCCCTATGTCTTCTGGGGGATCGAGGATGACTTGCGTCTGTGTGCTTCTTTCCCTCCCGAAGCCAGCCGAACAACAGATCGACCCGTGTGTCTTGCCGCACGACCCCCCCGGAGAGCTGCCCGCGCGAGAAAGTCGCGCGAGGGCCTCGGCTGCGGGGCCCTGCCGCGCCTCTTCCCGAGGCCCCCATGGACGATCCGGGGAGCTGAATCCACGAGATCATTATCGTCTGCGAAAATGCATCCCGATCGTCGACGGTTCCCCCCCAATTTTCAAGCTGCGACGCAGCTGCAGCCCTGGGGATTTTGCCACGAAGCGCGCCATGACCGACCACAGGCAATGAACATCTGGGCTCCCAAAACGAACGGGCAAATCTCTCACAAATGTCCCTGGGGGAACGAAGTTGTGCCGATACCGACCGCTACCCTGCCCCCACGAGGCCCCATAAGACGAAAATGAGGCAGATGTTGCGGCGTCGAAAATTACCTCTTCCTCCCCAGACGTCTGGCTGCTCCCACTGCTTTGATGCGTGGCCCCTGGAGATCAGGACCACTTCTCGAGGGCCCGTTGTTCGCCCCGGGCTGTTTCTTGACGGCCCCGAGGCCCCGTGAGGGCCCCTGCAGCCCCAAAACAGCCAACAATACGCCGCTCCAATGTTTGCTGGAGCGTCGGATCTCTTTCCTCTGATCTACTGCTTGCTTAGATGTCTCCTAGATGGGGTCGGAGTAGATGGGGTCCGAGGATCGCGCCGCATCGCCAATATATCGGCGACGCATCGGCGATGTATCGACGATGCACTGGCGACGCATCGTCGACGTGGGCGATGCATCGGCGCCGTCGGCGTGGAGAACAAATCGGGCTCCACATCGAGCCGCATCGCCGATGCATCGGCGATACGACGCGATCCTCCGACCCCGTCTGCTCGGACCCCATCTAGGAGGCCTAGAACAAGAAGCACGCCGCGCCAACTTTGCTTCGGAGCGGAGGAGGAGGAGGAGGAGGGGAGGAGGAGGCGGAGGAGGAGGAGGAGGAGGAGGAGCTGCCCCCGTGGAGGAGGCCCCTCCCCTGGCCCCGGCCACGGCGCGCGAGGCGCTCCGTGCTCTCTCGTTCTCTCTCTCTCTCTCTCTCCGCGCCTCCGCGGGTGCCGCGCCGAGGCCACGCGGAGGCCACGCGACGGGCACTCCCTGCTGGAGACACGAGGGCACGCCGGGAAGGCATGTGCGCCACACGCCGTTGACGATGGACAAAAAAAGACCCCGGACCCTTTGGGAGGGGATCTAAGCTAGGAAGGCCAACAACATCAGGGATGGGATGTCCTTTGTAGAAGCGTAGCAGACCGAGCCGCCCAGAGTCATGATCCCTCATGCGAAGACGGGGGCCTCAGCCAGGCCACGCCTTCCTTGCGTTAGTGGGGTTCGGGGCTCTTTCGTGCTCGATGAGTCTCGGTGATGGACAGAAGCCCATGTATTAAAAGATGGTCTAGTGAAAACGACCTCGGGCCCAAACCTGGCGGGCGCAAGCCTGGACAATGACGGCCGCGGCGCCCGCTCGAGAACCGACACCGGACAATTCACTAATCGACGTGTCCGGGTGGGGGGGTTCTGTGGTTGCTCTTCTGTCCCTGCCCCCCTCCCTGCCTCCTCTCCGCTCCCTTCTCCCCCCTTCCACCCTGGCCGATCACGCGCCATCACCCGCCCCCCTGCCTTGGCCCCTCCCTCCTCGGACCCCTCGCCTCATGTCCTCCTCCCCTGTCCTTCCCCTCGTCGGACCCCTCCTTCCCCTCGTCGGACCCCTCCTTCTCCTCGGACCCCCCTCCCTCCTCGGACCCCTCCTTCCCCTCGTCCTCCCCGATTAGATTTTGAGGGAGCAGCAGCCGGTGGCGAGGCGACGGGGGAGGGGGAAGCGAGCGAGCGCCCCCACGAGACGGAAGCGCGAGAGGCGGGCGCGCCCGCCGCGCTGCCCCCCCCCCCCCCCCCGCGCCTCCGTGGCGGGCTCGGGGGGGGCAGCCTCGGGGGTGCGGCGAGGCTCGCCTGCCTGGTGATGTGGCAGTCTCCGAACCCGGACTCCCTCGAGTCATGGAAAAATCACGACGGAAGGTTTTTCGCCGTTTTCGACTTTGCGCCATTTTCGGCCTCTGGGGGCCCCCACCGGGCCACGGGGCAGTCAAAAAACGACTCGGGATGAGAAACCGGTCCCGGGGGGAAGGGGTCCAGACCTTTGGGGGTCGACGTTGCGAAAAAATCACGACGCCGGGGTCTGAGAAGATGGCGATGCTGAGGGCGCCCACGGGCGCGGGGTGGAAGTCGGCGGCGAACGAGGGGGGGGAAGGTGAAGAGGAGGAGGCCCTCTCAGCAGGCGGCAGGCCATTCTCGGAAGCCCTCCTGCCTTCTGGGCAGCTCTGTGTGTCGCCTGGGAGAGCTCAGACAGCTCCTCAGAAGCGGGGGGGGGAGGCTTCCAAGCATTCTGAGGACGCCCACCCCCTCTCGCTTTCCCCCCCCCCCGGCTCGACGCCGAAGAAACACCACAACCACAACAGCGGCCACCACGCGAAGGATGATGCCAGTGGCAAACGCGAAACTGGGAAGTCGACAGACAAACCTATCGCAGGACCGTGCTCGCAATCTCTTCCCAGGCGAAGCGACGACGCTGAAACATCCCACACCACAGCTCTGAAGTCTCCCATTCTAACAGAGAGAGCGGGCCGGCCGCAGAAGGCGAAGCCCTTACGGACAATCTCGCCCTTCCCTGCGATCACTTGCCTGCCTTCCTTCTCAGCACCCTTTCTGTTGCGGGCGCTCCTCCTTGGAGGGGGACACTTGGCGCCAACTCGCGGCCAACCACGGCCTCCCTCAACGACCGGGCCTCGATTTGGACAGATTTTGGGGGCGTCTTAGGGCCATCTGGGCCCGTCATGGGGCTCTCCGCGGGGGACTCGTCTGGCCAATCGTGGCCGCACCAACCGGTCGATGCAATGTACAAGCGCACCGCCGAGGGGCGACTGGCACAGCTGCGGAGGCCCAGCGCCGCGCAAAACCAAGCGAAATGCACCACAAACTCGCGCGACGACGCTGTCGTGGAAAAAGAAGGTGTGGAAGGAGGAGGGGGAGCCAGCTCTCGCCCAGGCCAGCAGCGACAAGATTCCTGGCACGCGGGCGGCACCTGAACCGTTTCGGGACACAGCGCAGGCCATCGACGCGGCGGAGCTTGCAGTGCGCAGGTCCCCTAGAACTCCTGCCCCTCGCAGTGGATTGGTTTTCAATCGCTCCTCGTTTTTGACGATGGCCCGGGGTCCTGGAAAAGGCACCTGGGGGAAAACAGCTGCCAACAACGAGCGTTTTGATGCGTCGAAATCAGGTAGACGTAGGACTCGGCGTCGGGGAACTCGGGTTGGCCCGGCGGAGTCGTCAGGCAAATTGCGAGACCCAGTCTGAAATTTCTCGCGAGATCCCGCCGCAAATATCCCACGGAAGCTGGACTGTCAAAATCCAGGACGGCCTCGTCAAAGAGCGTGGGCAAGCCCGAGCTCCGTCGAGCTCGAAGCCCTACGCTTCCCCCGCAAGAAAGACGTCGGAGGCCCGGGACCCCGCCAGGGCCCTGCCGCGACCACACCACGACCCTCCTCGCCTGACCTCCCGAAGGCCCAAACCCGCGCCCCGTCAATGGTTCCATCTTTCCTCCCGCTGCTGCTGCCACCCCACCGCCCCCCTCCGTGTTGCTGCTCTCGTGCGTGGCGGCGCGCGCAAATGGGGGGGCCAGGGGGAGGGGGAAGGCTGCTTCTTGGAAGGCGCCGGCCCTATATTCACACATACATAGATAAATCAATACATATACATATACATATACATATACATATATATATATACACATACATATCAGAGTGATGGGGCCGAGCGGTCATTCATTGTCCCTGGGTGCGTGGCTGAATAAGGCATTCGTGGTGGAAATTATGTTTGTTGCGTTGTTGTTTTTGTCCCCCATTACGTGGATGGTTATCATGATGGTCGGGTGCGTCGTGTGGAAACATCGCGCATGCGGGTAAGCTGATTGTTGTTGTCGTTGGTGTGTTTGTCATGTTTGTTGTTGTTGTTGTTGTTGTTGTTGTTGTTGTTGGTGTGGTTGTTGTTGTTGTTGTTGTTGTTGTTGTTGTTGTTGTTGACTTTTCATTT